ATGGCTCCTGATCCCACCTCTGATGTTTCGGAGGTCCGTGTTTGCTCTGCTCTTATTTTGTATATTTGTTTAATGGACGTTGAGATTGAATACTGTTCGTTTTTTCCATATCCTTCCCTTAATTATCAATGATAAATAATGTAATGTAAAGTTTTGTGACAATTTCACACGATTATGGTTGTTAAATTATTAATGTAAAAATTCTAGTCTGCAAGTTGTTATGACGTCCGCATTTTTTATTTACATAGTAACGTAGTCTGCAATTTTTATTTGTTCTGATGACGACCGCCTCGTGGTCGAAACCGGTCAACCAAGTAAATTACGTGAAAGTAGGAAGTTTGCACAGGATTAGGCTGGTATCCAAAAATTAAAAATGTATAAAAAGTTCAATGTTTTTCCTATAGGAAACGAGAGCTATTTACCTGTATGACCTATGTTGACCCCACCTGTGGAATAAAGTATATGAATACCGATAGTCACGTGAGTTCTACCCTAGTAAACATTCCTCAAATGTGTTCACTGAATAGCCAGACTTTGTATCATTAAAATCGTGTTGATAAGAGATGTTTGTATGTGTTTTGTTTTAAAAACACTAGTAAAAGGGTAAAAAGAGTTTAGTTTCGTTCATGAAAATGTCAACATATTTATCATCCATGCAAGACAATGGGACTTTATATTGAGGTCCACCTAATACCCTTTTTTAATTTCAAAATTCAATGAAATTAATATCAATAATTATTGTATTTCTTTTTTTTAATACAAGCGTGCTTTTTTTAAAGTTTGGTCATTATAGCTCCAGGCATTCGATTTTTATAAACATATAAGACATGGCAAGAAGAAGCATTTGGTAAAGGCACCCGTCGCTGATCCGCCATCAGGTTGTTCAAGTGTCGATTTGAATGTCTCCACCCTCGATTGAAATAAATAAAACTCAAAGTAGATTCGGTACGATTTTTCTGGATTTGGGTATAATAGAGGCATCCAAAAATAGTCTACAGTTTTAAATCCATGCTGATTTAGGTGATGCTTAACGTGCTTTTTAATCAGAAATATCCATTAGTATTTAAATATTTCCCAAAGAGAACGATTTGGTATTAAATTCTTAAGAAAATCGGCACAGAAAAGGGCCCATTTAGCATTGCTTAAGCACACTTGTCCTTTAATCAAGGCTTATTTGACAAATCTTCATTTTTTGGCAAAGTTTGTTGAAGGAAGGTGTAAAACTTGTTCTAGACATATAAATCAAGACCTACATTAAATATTCCTAGCAATATCATCACGGAAAATTTTCTCCAAGGAAAAGTATGTGAGGCTAAAGTTCCAAATGTCAAATTTAACAAATGTGCAGCTTTGCAGAATTATCTGCTAAATATCCTTCTGTCACAAGAAATAGTCCAAATGATACAAATATCATTAACATGCTTAAGTGTTGCAATTTTATGCTTATGTCATATTCATTGCATTGACACTTAACATGCTCATCCATCTAATAATATAATTCTATCATTAAGCGGCTATTTAGCATTAGCGGTTGAAAATGCCAATGACAAACATTGAATGCAATAATTCATGGCATTAAGTTTACAGTTGCAACTCTTAATGATGTTTGTATCATTAAACAGCGTTATACCATAAACGATTGCTATAGGGCTTGTAAAATTCAAGGAAATTAGGTAGAAAACATATACAAAATAAACTTTTGATCAAAAATGGAACTTCATCTTTAACAGAAATTATTTAAATTACATTCTTTTTAACTTTCTTAAAGCATTGTTATTTTTGTTGCAGAATATAACTATTACATAGCACACCTGTACTGCATGCTTGCTTTCAGACCTCAGTACTTCTGCTTTCAGTTCCTGCACATCTAAAGTGTTTGCCTTCAGCATTTCATGGTAACTTCCCATTTCAATCTTTTCTTTTACTTCATCTTCATCTTTCTTTCTTAAACATTTTAAATCTGACTTGACTTCTTGCACATCTGACATGAGTGTCTTCAACATTTTTTGATGTTCCATGGAAAATATTCTTATGATAAAATCTTCTTCTTCCCTTCTAATGGTCAGTTTTTTGACATCATTAAGGTTATCCAGGTACTTCTTTCCAGTGAAGTTTTCCAATCTTTGGCAAATATCTGACATCGTGGACCAGGTGTTATTAAATTCTTCTTGAGGGATGGAGGCTGAACTCATGTGTAAAGTCAGTCTATTTCGTATTGACCTAATTCTCTCGACATCGTCACCCACGGTCACTTCTCCTGCTGCTGCAGGTTCTTCTCCCCATTTTCCTTTTGTCGGTTTAGGGATCTTTTTGCAAATGTTTCTGATCAATTGGTACGTTAATGAAATGTCAAAGCATTCATATCCCGAATGTTTAGCTTCTATCAAGAGTTGTTTTTGTTCAGGGCGTAATCTTTGGTAAAAATGTGTTGATGCTCTAACGTTTTTCTCAATGTCGGAAGGTGGAACCTCCGTCTCCAGTATATCTCTGTATGTCTGAATTAACACATAGTTTGTTGCCATTCCAAGTTTCGCAAATCTAGATCGGCCCCCCAGGTCTTGTCTAGACACCAATGGAATGATGGAATCACTCGCCATTCTCTGAAGAAAAACATTCATTCAATTAATATGAATAGGACAGATATGAAATTGCCAATAACTGAAACATATGTACATGTAAACCTAGTCCATAAAGCGGACTGAAATCGAAAAAGCCTTTTAAGGTGTGATAGCAACTTCCAAAAACCACTGTTTACTTCAAATTAGAACTACACCAAAAAAGGAGAATCAGCAATAAAGAAGTAACAAGGTTGGATCTTGATTTTTAAAGCCTTAAACTTTTTTGTCAAGTACATCCTTAGTTTCTATACACATAGCTTAATTAAAATTCAAATCAAAAAATGGAGACAATTTGCTCTTTTGGCTCTACCATGCTCTACAGTACATTAAATATGACCTTTTTTCCCTGAAATTCTAATGTTTCCCTCCTAAATCTTTATCCAATTAAAGCATGGAACAAAAGAAATTATAAGTCTTTTTAAAATAAGACACTATAGTGTATAATTTTGACTAATAAAAATTTTGCCAAAAACATTAGAGTGAAATTTAGATACCTTGCCTTTATTGTAGTTAAATGGGGAATACGTCCCATATACTTGCAATGTAGTAAATCGGAGCGGATCCACTCCGAAACGATTTTGAAGAATTTAAAACAGTTTGAACTGGAAATCACTATCAAATTAATCAAATCAAACCTTTTTGTGGATGCATATGCCTTTTATCCACAAAAATAATCCATAGAAGGACGAAAACCCAATTATTTTTCTCAGTTTTTTTCTCTCGCTTCAAATTTACCTGCCATATTTACATTCGGGACTCTCTAGAGTGTTGGTAGTAAATGTACAGTAAATGTACTAGTGCAAGTTATCGCCCGTGTTTCTTTTGCTACATTACGAATACACGGAATGAATTCTATCATTAAACCAGGTCCATAGGACATTCATCATTTTAACGATAGAAAATTCTATCTAGAGGTTTTAAATTAATATATATAAGGGGTGATCAAAAAGTTCGCAAACAACTTGAATAACTTCCATACAAGAAACAATATTTAGTTTTAATGTTGATTATATTTTAAATTAATCCTCCCCAATTTTAATGTACATCAACCACCGTTCTGAGCATGCGCGAATCACGTGATATTGGCGGTCACTTGACCCCCTCCGTAGCGTTCTGTCACAAAAGTTGAAAGATTTTTCTGAGTTTTATATTTCTTTCCATGTGAGCTAATTTTTATGACAAGAACAGTTCAGTTGTCAGAAATGGTCATATCTTGACAACAGAATGGGTGGATAATAATATCCTTTCCAAAAATAAGCATGGCTACCATTAAAACACAAATCTTCTATCTCAGGAGAGACCTTTATTCAAGGTGGATAGAGAATGGGTGCATCTTTTTTATCATATCTAATATGTTTAAAATCTAAAGTAAACGATGCCTTAGGTATTTAATACTTATATCATTGTTCAAATATTCAACTATTTTTCAAAGTGCTAATTGGGGGTCTTTGATTGCAAATTGCTTAATTAAAAATACATATCTTTTCAATCTTGCTTTCACTGGGCAAGATGACATGTATCATTTTTAACCATCAGCCTTCCTTCACTAAAACGATTAATCCAATCATCAATTGAATTTTTAGGAACTAATTTATCTTAATAAACTGTCTACAAATTATTATATGATACTGTAGAGGGATTTCAAAGATATACAATAAATTGTACAGTCGTTTGTTGAACGAATTCGACTGAGACAACCATTTTTCGTCACAAGTGACCTAAATTGTGACGTCATTTTCACATTGTGACGTCACAAACAAGGAGAGAAACTTTATTCAGCACAAACTATTTATAGAACTTGTGTATGGCTATGTGTGTACTGAATTTTATTCTAATCTGAATTGTGGTTTTCTAGATATAAAGATAGTTTGCGAACTTTCTGATCACCCGTCGTACACTGACAAATAAAATCTTCTTTTTAATATTTGAATTTATAGATGATATCATATTTTTTACATGGGTAAGCATGATGGTAAGGGTGTTTTCAAACATTCATAACTTAATCAATAGCCTATATAATTGAGAAACCTTTTTACTAATTTAAAATTGTCTCAAATTACCCGACACATGCGTGTAAAGTTTTACACCTGGGGTATTTCGCTGTGTATTAAATCAAACACTGTCACTAAAAGACTATGTAACTAATAATTTCCTGCACGTATAGTGATCAGGAGACAGATGGCTATCTCTCAATGTTTTCATGCCTGTACAGAATAAACCTGCTGAGCCCTAGCCTGGAATTTAACACTCGGTAAAAAAAATATCTGCCTATAAAAAATTAAAGTGTCGTTAAAATGTGATTTGTCTCTCAATTTTGAGCAAAATGTGTTCAAGACAAAATGTAAACAGTAAAATCTAAAATAACGAGTCTATCCAAATTACCTGATGTCTTATTCCTTCAAAATTTCCTCAATGGATCTCTAAATGTATAATAAACCTTCCCATCCTCCTATCTTTGATCAACATGGCCGCCCGCTCAAAACGAAAATAGGGAATTTACGATTTTGATAAAAATTCGAGCGACAGGAGGGTGCGTCGATTTACCCAAATGGAACCCAAATGGACCCAAATGGACCCCAAATGGACCCAAATGGAACCCAAATGGACCCAAATGGAAACTCAAATGGACCCAAATGGAATATATAAT